GTTCAGGATTCCCAGGAAAAATCATCCTAGAGTATCCTGGTGGGTTTTAAATCCAACTTCTGTGTCCCTGTGAGAAAAGGAAATTGGGGGACATGGAGATGCAGAAGGACAAGCATGGTGTGAGGACAGAAGCAGAGACTGGAGCCATGTATCTACAAGCCCAGGAGCACCGAGGCCCACCAGAGGCTGGAGAGAGCCAGGAAAGACTCTGCCATGGTGCCACAAAATGACCAGCCCTTCCCACCTTATCCCAGGTTCCTGACCTGCAGGATGGTGACAGAATGAGTTCTTGCCATTTAACGCCCCTGTTTCACAGTAGGTTTTTATGAGGCAGCTCAGGACCCTGACAGCCTGTTTACAGACAGCTTGTCCATGGGATTTCCAGGGGTCACCGCACACTCAGAGGCCACTTAGGATGAAGTCCTTGAGGGCAGTCAGTACCTACTAAGAAGGCACAAAGTCTCTTTGGCTTTGGAATCAGAATTAGACAAAGGAATTTTGTATATTTTGGCTCAGGCTGTGGACTGTATGTTCGGTTAGCACGGATAACAGGGTGTGACAGGTATCTTGACTGACAAGAAGGGGACAGGTCTCAGTCTTTCTTCCACATCACCTCTCTCTACATGTCTTTTAAGCACCACCCCCATTCTATAGGTCCTGAGTCCTGGCCTTTCCAGCCATCATCCTGTGGCCTCCCAAGGGGACAAACAAGGCCTCCTGGGTGAGGATTTGGACAGAACATCACCTTCCCAGAAACGTACTTCTTTGAGGTCTGCTCCTTCGGGTGCTAGCAAGGATGAATGCCCTCTCCTCATGGCATCAGCCTGGCCAGCCTGCACCCAAGGCCATCATGAGCTATAGCTTTGGTTGCTTTTTGTGCAGGGAGGATGTGATCTTGCTGCTCAGGGGGGCCAGAAGTGCTCCCACCAAAGCCCTTGAGAAGAAGGCTCCAGCTGCCCTATGCTAAACCCCTTCCACTTGTTCCCATAGCACATTGTGGAGGGTGGCAAAACACCTCATAACCAAGGCACACACAAACCCCCAAGCCAAGGTGACAAATAAGAGGACAACTTTTGAGCTGTAGGCTGTACCTGGCCCAGGGAGGCCACTAAGGGGCAGTGAGTGGGTCAGCACAGCCCCAAGCTGCCCAGCATGAGCCAGACCAGGTGCCTCCGCCAGCAGCTTCTCCACTGGTCTGCACGTGGAACCCCTGGGCATTTCTTTGTCACAGTAGGACCACCAGCAAAGCTCACTGCCTCCACCCCCAAGTTGAGGGCCCTCATCATCTGCCCCTGGGAGTCACTTCAAAGACAGGCTGTGCAGTTGTGGAGCCACCCATCCCAGAATGGGAATTTCCAGGACAGCCAATGCCACCCACAGAACCACCTCAGACTCCCAATGAGTCCCCACAAATAGGACCTCCTTGCCTTCTTGGATGAGCACCCAGCAGTTTCTAGAGAGGCAGAAATTCCACACTGTCCTGAGGACCAGTGATCACATATTTGCCTAAATCAGGGCCTTAGATGTATCTTCTTGGAGGGCAGGGCTGGCTGTGTGTGTGTGACAGAGTCAGAGCTCAGGCAAATCCTCATGGCATAGGCCTGTGCTGGGTCCTAGCTCTGTCAGAGTCACAATGGCCAGGAGAATCTATGCCAAACCTGCAGTTTCCCAGAGAACAGAAAACAGCTCCTGCTCTGCCCTGCACCCACACCTGGCCTGGTGATTCAGCGTAGGACGATACCACCACACTCCCTGGGGAGAGGACAGGAGCGTGTCTGTGGACACAGGCCATCCCTGCTCCTCCTTGGCCTCCCACCCCACAACCTGAGGATTTGGGAGACGAGACTTGGCTCCCTCCAATGACCTGTGGCCAAAGTGGTGATCTGCAGTTTCTTGAAACCGGGAGACTAGCAGGTTGAAGCAGGGAAGACTGGCAGGTGATGCCACAGGACTGGCTCTTCCTTGTTATGCTTGGCATGCCCATCATGCCTATCACACACAGCCCCAAAGCATGGAGAGGAAGAGCCTGACCCTGCTCCCAGTGCTCGCTTGGCTTTCCCAGCTTACCTCTGTCTCTATTCCTTAAAACTCCGCATCTGTGCTTGTGGGATGGGGACTGCAGTGGCCCTGAGCTTCTGGGTGATAGGGTAGATGCAGTCACTCTCTGTGGAGTTAACCTCTCCTCTGCCTAGCTGAGGAAAGTGAGACTCAGAGGGAAGAGTCTCAGAGGAAGAACATTCCAAAGCCCCCACCCCTGGGGCAAAAAGCAGGGGCAACAGCTGGACTCCACTGCTACAAAGAGTGATAAAACAAGCGCCCATTGGGAGTAGAGGTCTAACCTGAGTCCACTGCACTCTTACTACTTGGGTCCAAGTTTCCTCATCTGTAAAATGGGGAGAAGTAGCTATTGCTGCCTCCAGTGGCCTGGAGAGCACTAGTGAACTGACAGATGAAGGCACCTGGTACTACACTGGCTTTGGTCTTTCTGCCTAGTGAACCATGCCTGTACAATGCTGGCCCTGCAGAGACCGCACCCCAAGCACTTTTTCTGGGTGTGTCTGGGCTGCAGCTCCTCCGAGGGGAACACTGGGTACAGCAAGATGGGTAGGGGCTCCAAGGGTCTTCTTTGAGTCTGGCAGGGGGTTCCCTTAATCAACTAAGGGCACAGCCTTAAAACCAGGACCCTGGGGAGACAACCTTTGGCACCTCAAGGGTTTGTAGATTTCCTTGCCTTGGTTTTGCCATCTCAGCCATGAGCCACTGAGCTCACGAAGTTACAGGGCTAAATCATGAGAAAGTATCACAGTGGCTGCCACTAATGCCTTGGGAGGCATCAGGATAAGATGCATGATCCTAAGGACATGGATGGGCTCTGGCAACAAGGCCTTGGGGGGCCTCTATTATCCCACAGGCCGACCCCCAGAATGAAGGCTTGATGCCAGAACACTGTTTCCTGAGAAGGCTGCCCATCAGCAAGGAAGATGCTTGGGGCCTGACCATTCTCTCTTGGGGTCGTGCTGAGCACTGCAGAATGTTCAGCAGCATCCTCTGAATGCCGTAGCACCCTCCCCCTACCATGGCAGCCAGCACTGTCTGCAGATGTGGCCCGGTGCCACCTCAAGTCAGGAGGCAAAATCGACCCAGCTGAGAGCTGATGCTCTAGAGACTTGGATTGAAACAATCCTGGCTTTAAATTGTTCTCTGCTCACTCAGTGTAAGATCCACCTTTTCTGCACAGACGTGTTTAAAATCCCACTGATCACCGACACAGCTTCCTGGATTATGATGAATTCTACACTGATGGGCTGGGAGGTGCCTGCCCTCCCTCCTTGCATATCTGGTAGAGAGTGCTCATCTTTCCCCCAGGCCAGCACTGTGGAAGCCTGAAGGCTCACTGGGCATTTGCAGCTGTTCCCTTTTACCAGCAAGAAAGCAGGCACAGAGACGTGCGTGAACTTGCCCACAGTCCAACAGCTGCCAGGTGGTAAGCCCCAGTGAATCGCAAGGCTGGTGCCCAAGGATACTTATCTCTGTCTGTCTCTGTCCATCTTGGACAGAGCAGTTTTAACTCTCATTTCCTGAGCCGGCTGTCGGGCACAGATGCTATATTCATTTGCCAGATGAAGTTGAGGTCCATGGATCCCACAATGGAGCTGCTTTCTGGCAGCAGCCAGATTCATGTCTACCTTCAGGCTTCTTGTTGCGTCTCCAAAGCCAGGTGAGAAGCAAGAAAGCAGTTTGCTGGGGAAATCCCACACCAGCTATGCACCTGACGGACACCTGCCACCTGCCACTGAGCCAGCAGGTGGCATAGGTCTCCTTCCTCACATGACTAAATGGTTGCTGTGGAAAAGGGTCAGAACTGCTGACTCCACCCCCCAAGCTCACCCTGTGATCTCCTCTTGGCCTTCCCACACTCTCCAAATGCTCTTCTGGCCTCTGGCCTCCACAGTATCCTTTCGTGAAATCCAGCCCTCACAGCCCGCATCTTTCGACACTTTGGCCCCTGAGACCTCTGCCTCAGGGGATAGGGGCTTGTTTTCTCCCTCAGTGCCCTCAGGACCAGCCCAGGCAACCAGTGACTGAGCAGCTTCCTGCAGCCACTCCCAGCTTTGTGCAGACTTGTAGGGGAGAGCAGATTGCTGGCCCCCATCCACCCTGTCCACTACACACACGCCCTGAAGAAGGCCACAGACATCGCAGAGGAGGTCCCACCATGGCCCTGAGCATCTTATCGAAGCACTTCTGCATTCAAAGGCCTCATCAGGTGACTCTGGGTGGGGTAAGGTTAGTCCAGGGTAAGGCAAGAGTACAGCTTGGTGGCTGCCTCTGAGGTGGTTTCTTATACTCATGTGGAAACCCCAGCTTGGCCAAGGTGAGGAGAAGAGATTGGCTGTCAGGCGACCAGCCCCTACCTGCTGCCCCCCAAGGATTCGTTCCCACTCCAGGGTCCAGAAAGGACCTTCGCTGGGCAGCGAAGCACCCCAGGCTCACTTTGCATGGCACCCCCATAACCCCTAGACTTAGGGTGGCTCAAATAGCCTGCAAACCGTTGGACAGTGCAGGCTTGGAGACACAACTCTGGGTGCAGCTCAGGTATGGAAAGCTGCCCAAGGCCTGGCCTAGCTCTAATGCTGTCCCCTCTCAGGTTCAGTTTGGAAAAAGCTTCTCACATTCTGAAATCCCACCTCCATCTGGGAGTCACAGTGCGGGGTGGGGTCAGGAAGGGCAAGAGGGCATCCCACACTCTGGCAAAAAGTGGACTTTGTGTACAACTGTGACCACTACCCTGTCCAACACCCTTGAATGTGAGAACCTTACAAGACTGATTCCGGCTGGCCACCACCTCTCCAGTCCATCCTCTGGCCATTCTCAGGGGTATCTGTGTTTCTGTGCGGCAGTGGGGGGTCTAGTGAGGCCCAGGGTGCGCCAACGGGAGCGGGTGCGGGGAGGCGGAGCTCTCCTGTGAAGGTGCGGGTGCGCAGTGGGGTCCCAATGCCCGCTCCAGCTTGCGAGGATCCTCCCGGGTTTTATGGCTGCCGCGCCCTCCTCCCTCCTGCCCGCCTGCTCGCCAGCCTCCTCCCTTCGCGCTCCCTCGCTCCGCCTAACGCGGCTGGATCAGTCCTTCGGCATTTCCTGCAGCCAGGCCATCGCCGCCAGCTGAGTCCCCGCGCCCGGCCCGGCCTGGCTCGGCCTGCAGCACAGAGGGAGCGCGCGGCACGGTAGGAGCCCAGTGGCCAGGGTGAGGAGGGACCGGGAAGGCCCGGGAGGGGTGGCGGAGCAGGGCAGAGAGTCCAGCTAGCTGCCCGGGGTCGCCGGCGAGGGTCAAGAGCTCCGCTGCAGACCCTGGGCCCCCGAAGCTAGGACACAGCCCCCTGAACTCTGACAGCGCCATGCTGGGCGTCTGCTCTGTTGGTGGCACCGGGAGCTGTAGTGCTCCACTGGCTGGTAGCGGGTGGGGCCCGTGTGGGAATGGCGCGCCCAGCCCGCTCTGTGCCTGGTGGGGCTTAAAGGAGCCGGGCCCAGGCGCGAGGGTGGCCAGGTCCCAGTGCCACAGAGGCTGGGAGACGAAGGGTCTGTACCCCAGCTCATCTTCGGCAGGGATTGTTTAGGAGGTGCCCTCTAGATCCTGGGGCTAACATCCCAGCTCTGGGCTTAGTTCATCTGGGTCCACAGAGCTGAGGCCACCTGGACTGTGGGGTATTGAGAAGACCTCTGCCCACTGCCTCTGTCCACCCACAGCCTCTCTCTCCAAGGCCCTTGACTCCCTAAAAGAAAAGAAGGAGCTTCACTCATTGTGTGGGGGACCTGAGTCTCCAAGAGGGCCTTGTGTATGTAAGGATTCCAGGGGTGAAAAGGAGGGTCCTGTTTGGGGGTGGCCACAGCTCCTCCCAGCCACAGGTCCAGCCTGGAATTCCCAGGTGCTGCCTCCCTCCATGCCAGACAGCTAGCTATTTTCTGTCAGCAACTGACTGAAGTTAGGACTGAGTGCCTCCTAGGGATGCAGATCCACCTCCCACACAAACCCACTATCCCACTCTCCACCCGGTGGGCTTCCCTGCCCCTCACTGACCTTGGGCTGGGCGGGGCAGCCTGACCTGACTGCAGTTGATAGTTAAATTTTTCTTCTTTTGTCGTCTCTGGATTACTACTTTGTTCTTTCTTATCTGTTAAACTGGGGGTTAAGTGTGTGTCTGCCTTTTGTGGGGGCCTCTGCAAGGTATCTTTGACAGGGAAGGGCGGGGAGGAGCATGACCTCTTGGGTCCATCTGACCCAGGGTGGATCCAGTCCCAGATGAACAGAAAACTGCCCCTCTAAGAATAATGGGTGAGTGCTGTCTGCCCTTGCCACATTTGAACCCTATTTCCTTGTTTTCTGATTCTTGAACTTGAAGGATTTGAGAATCACCAAGAGGTCTTGACTGGTGGCAGAAAGGTCCATGGAGACCTGAGGACCGGATGCTGGTATCTGGCAGTTTCCCTGGGGCTCTGGATCCATTGTCTGTTTGCACATGTGTGGGGCAGCATGTTGGGACCTTTACCAAGGGGAACTGGGTTGCAGGAGGTGAGCTCCACGCGTCTGTCTGGTCTGGCTTGCCAGGCTGTGTTTAGAGAAGGTGACAAAGCAGACCGGCTGGGTGAGAATCCCCTGACCTACAGCCCTGAGCTTAGTTTCAGGGAGACTGCTGTGGTGTTGTTCCACCTCAGCTGCAGTGCTAGATGTCAGAGAGGAAGGCTGCCCCTGGGCCTGGGCCTTCAGAGGACTGCTCTCAGATGCTGAATGCAAGACAACATCCATCCTGGGCCTTCAGAGGACTGCTCTCAGATGCTGAATGCAAGACAACATCCATCCCCACCCCCATTCCTGATTGCAGTTATCATGCAGAGAGTGTCCAGAATCAATTTCTGCCCTGAAATCTAGGCTTCCTGGAAGCTTTCTGAGCTCCAGTAGCGATCTGACATGCTATGCTTGGAGAAGGGCAGAAACTGTGACAAGCCCATGGTTTGAACATAGTTGTTTGTCTGGCAGGTGTGTTTTGGGGACTTGTGCCCAGTGTGTACTCTGTGGTTCAACTCCCACATAAGTGCAAACATCCCCCACATTAGAAACAGTGGAGAGCTTATTTAGGATAATGAACACACACTCTGCCCCGCCCTGAGTCTGTGCATTGTTCTGGGGAAAGGTGAGTTTGAGCACGGGGCTGTACCTGAGATATGTGTGGCTTGTCTTAGTGAGGACTGAGGCACAAGGGTGCATGGAAGGACGCTGGTCATTTGGACTTGAAGGGAACTGTCCCACATTCGCAGATCTGGTCTGGGCTCCAGGGTTCAAGTGGTGGAACCACTGCTTGGTTACAGGGCTGACAGGGAGCTCAGGTGACCATTGTGTGTTGGGTGGTGCGGAAGGTCAGAGCTGCTGGCCGTCAGCCCACAGCCTGTGCCTGCCTGGGATATCCACGTGTTCCCGTGGCTTTTACATAGGAAGAGTGTCACTCTCAGCGGCAGATTTGCTGCATGACTTACTGAATCTGCAGCCGAAGGAAAGAGAACTTAGAACTTGCAGGTGAGACCCCTGGTTGCTCAGGATCCCCCAGGCAGGTAGCAGCTGGACGGGTGGATAGGTCACTTCTGTCTTGCTGGCTGCTTGTTTATGGGAGCCTGAGGTGGGTCAAGCTTGAAGGGTTGGGACTTTGGATTGAATTGTTGTCTAAGCATGGCAGTTTTCCCCAACTGGGTGCCTAGAGGCATACCTGTAGGTAAGAAATTACCTTGTGCTGAAGTTTAAGCTGAAGGAAGTGGGTACCAGCTGGGTCTGTGGCTTAAGATGGGGGAGGGGAGAAAACTGTGATTTGGAGTTCTTTGTCCAGAGAGATAGGTGGGGATCCACTCTCCAAGATAAGGAATGTTGTAAGACCAAGGAATGGAACAGGCTGGAGCTGCTTCAGCAGTCCCAAAGAACAGGATCTGCAGCCAGGAGCACAGACGTCTCTGGTGGGAGGGGCTCTTTTACCAACGTGAGAGGCTGGAGTGTGAACAGAGCCATCATGGCCTTAGCAAGGACATCCAGGTCATTGAAGCAATGTGACTGGGTCCCTACTGCTCAAGGCATGAGCCTTGTGGGCCAGTGTAGAGGGACCTTGGATTCACAGAGGGCCTTTACTGCAAGTCTCAGGGCCATCCAGGGTGCTTTGCTGGCCTCCAAAGCCAACCCCATATCTGCTCTTCCCTCCTGGCCCAGCCTTCCTATCCTCTCAGTCACTTGCCCTTGCATAGAGCACCATGTTTGCCAGCTCACAGGTTTCTCCTTTCTGCCCTGTCCAGTCCTTCTCTAGCTGGCAGCTTGCATGGTCTTTAAAAATATAAACCACATCATGTACCCTCCGCCCTTGGAGCCCTTCGCAGTGCACCATGGGTCTCAGGATGAGTCCATGGCCCACAAGCCATAAATGCTCCTGTAGGGAATGTCTTCTTCTCTTACACCAACCCCACAGATCTGGCCTCAGGCCTGCTTTCCCTACCTCAGGGCCTGTGCACTCAGAGAACTTCTGCTAGCAGCCATCCCACCCGCCTGCATGATGTGGGCTCCCTAAGTCAGGTCTCAACCTGGATGTCACTTGTCTGAGATATCCTTGGTTCTTGTTCTAAAACGTCCATTCTGAAGTAGTTTGTAGTGTGTTTTGTTTTCTTAGCAGCATTCGTCTGTATCTGAATTTAACTCAGCTTTGTATTTAATGAATGTCTTAATATGAAGAAAGCAATTGGGCCAGAGCCAGCCTGCTAAGGATGCTGTCACTGTCATTGTTCTCTGTGGCCTGAATGTCTGCTCTGGACTCTGTCCCCAGAGCCTGCCACAAAGTCAGTGCTCCCTGCCCCCGTGAGGCCGAAGGGAAAGCCTAGGAAGTGAAGCTGGACATGAGGTGGGGGAGGGTGTTGCCCAGTTCCCCTCCCCCACCTCATGTCCAGCTTCACCAGCTTTGAAGGTTAGGAGGTAGGACCGGTCATTCCTTACCTTCCCAAGATGGAAGGATGCTCAGTGCTGGCCTCCCCAGGTGATCACTTCTGAGTGAGGAATGGGCCCTGCAGAGGGACTAGGCTCAAAGGATACCCAGTACTTTATTATCCTGTTACCTGTACCCTAGTTGTTAGGAATCCAGACTCAGGAAAGATAAGGCATGACCACGTTTGTGAAGTTTAAACAGAAAGAGGGAAAGGGTTTGGGGGACCCTGCCTCTGCAGGCTGCTGAGCAGGCTGTCCCTATAACCAGTGTTGGCCAACTTCTCTGGTCCAGAGTAGGGCACATCAGCCACACTGTGCTGTCCCAGGGTAGACAGTGGCCTCTGGCAGGGAGGGACCTGTGAGCTCAGGGCTCTGAGCAGAGAGAAGCCTCACTTCCTCTGAGATCAGGTGGGAGTGGTAAGAGGGGCTCTGATGACCTTTGTGCCTTTGTCCTTTGTCTTTTTGACTCACCAAGTGCCCATTCGCAGAGATGCCACCCCTCCCCCAGGGGAGTGCATGGCCTTAAAGTCACAATGGGAATGACTTGCTCACATATTGGGGTGAATATGGCCGCAAAGAGAATGGGAGACACTGTTTACAACATCTAGCCTGAGGACTGGCTTTGGCGAGAAGCATCTGCAGCTCTACCTATTTGCTGGGCCGCTGCAGGTCCCCTACTGCTCAACTATTAGGGTGAATATGACAGGCTTAGTTAAGGACCTCTTGTCCCTGGTTCCCATCCACTGGATTGCAGTGGGGCTTCTGTACACACCTATTGGGATGAATATGACAAGGGAGTATAGCTTTAAAATGGTCCTAGCACTCCAGGTAGTGTTCCCAGTCCTGCCAGCAGCTCCTAAGATGCCATGTAGCTTTTTGTGAATGCACCTTGGGGAACTGGGGTCTTGTAGGCTTTTTATGAATGCACCTTGGGGAACTGGGGTCTTGTAGTTCCAGGCTTTTAGTTCAATATTCTGCTGGATAGGCATTCTCTGCCATTCACAGAGGCCAAAGGGGAGTGCCGGGCACCTCTCAAGTCACTCCTGTCAGTGGCCAGTGGCTAGAGCCTCTTTGCCAGGAGGCCAAAGGGTGGAATGCCCCGGGAGCTGACCAGTGGTGCATGCAGAACAAAGGATTAAAAGGATGTGCTTGGCTTTACAGTTGATGGGAAGAACTTTATTACACCATACCTCCTCATCCCTCCCTGACAGGAAGTCACTTAAATCCAACAGGAATCCAGTCAG